CCTGCCCTTCCCAGCCCCGGCGAGGGGCGCAAGTTGCGAGCGCGGCCGGCACCTGCACCCCGCCGCTCCCCCGCTCGCCAGCCCGCGCCGCGCCGGGGTTACCTGCTCGGGGCGCCGGGGTCCCGTCCTCCGCGATGCAAATCCGTGTGCGGCCGCCGGCACCCTCCTCCCGCTCCTCCCGCTGCCTCCGCCCCCTGACGGGAGTCGTGCCGGTCACGCCGCTCCCGGGGAGAGTCGCCGGCGGCTTCCGGGAGCTCCAAATACAGCCGGGCGCCGCGGAGAGGGGGAGGGAGAGCTGTGTGGCGAGGGAGGTGCGAGGTGGAAATGAAGGGGAGCAGAGGGGAGCTGGGCGGGGGTGGGGGAGAGGAGGGGCAGATGGGCCGTGGGAGCGGGGCGCAGGAGCTGAGGAAGGCAGAGGCTGGGGAGGAGCGCCTGCCAAGAAAAGAATTCCCCGCGGCGGGCAGGAATGCGAAGAGGTCTGGAAGGAGCTGGAGGCTCCCGGCTGCAAGGGGCACAGCAAGGTCGGGTCCCCACGGGCTTGGGATTTGTGCAGAGACCTGGGTAACGGGACGGCCCTGTGTCACCCTCACCCCTGGCAGAAGGATAAAGGCCGGTTTGCGGGGGAACGTTAGACAGCTGATGCTCCAGCGAGGCGTCAAGATCAGAGGCATTTATATCTCGCAACCGTGTTTTTTAAAAAAGTATTTTGCACACACCAACTTTTAAAAAAGTCGCTTGATGTAGAAACAGATGTAACCAAATGCAGTTCACTTCCGGAAATGTATATTTGTAGCCATTTTCCCTTCACATTGAATGCAATTGGAAATCAAACGCTTCTCTTTTTTAAAAAAAACATCATTTGATTGGAAACTATTGACTTTGAATTTTCATTGGCGATTGTTTAAGAAGATGAACTTAAGGTCTTCATGGATGAATACATAGAAACTAATCGCGGACAAGAGAGAAAAAGGGGTGCAGGGTGTGATGAGTCCTTCCCAAAGCAAGGTCTCCAAAAGTGAATCTTTGAAAAGTCAGGCTTCTCTGTCAGTGTCAAAATCGCATCTCACTCAGTGCTGTGCATGACGAAGCTTGTTCTGACCCAGTAGATCTCACCTTAAGTGGAGGTCATTCCTACTACAAGTTGCTGTGGCCCAGCAGTGGGCTGTGCAGTGGCCCTTCAGCCCCCCGTGGGTGGGGGAAAGACAGGCCGCTCGCATGGCGCAGTCATAGCCAGCATCACGCCTGTGCTGCAACTGCCGTGCACAGGCAGGTGCCCTGGAAAGTTATCCTGAACAGCGGATGGGTGATGGATCGCACATGCATTCAGAGCATTTGTGTGCCAGGAATCTGGAAACAAGCTATTTGGAACCACAGGGAATTTCAGAGCATCCATTTCTATATGGCTACTTTTAAAAACATTAATTACAGCATCACTAGAGCATTTCTTTTAGCTGCATGCAGTTGTCTGCTGTATCCCTGAGGAAGAGGCTTTAGGACCCACCATAGCTACGAAAATCTGCAAATACTCCAGTCTTTATGGTATAGCAGTTGCCTATAAACTATGTACATCCTTCATATATGTTAAATCATTGCTAAATTATTTATAATATCTAGTACAATGCAAATGTTCTGTAAATAGTTGTTATGCTTAATGGTTTACAGAATAATAATAACAAAGAGGTTAGTACATATTTAACATAGATAATCTTTTTCCCCCTAAATATTTTCAATTCATGGTAAAACCCACAGATATAGAGGGCTTGAGCGTAGATTTTGCTTTGGAGTATGCAGCGCTATGGAGGTTCAAGAGAGAATGAGGCAAGATCCTACTAGATTTATACTGTAACAGGGAGATGCAGAGAGTATAAAAATAACCACAGTGTGAGAAGACTGCAAAATGTGTCCTGGGTGTGAACAGTTCTGTGGGTCCACAGAAGAGGAGGTGGTTGCTTCCAGTGCTAGAGATCTGAGAGTGCTTCCTGCCAGAAGTGAGAGTTGAATCTCTAAGGGGAAATGAGACACTGAAGAAGAGATCTCAAGATGAAAGGAGCACCAGGGACAAAAGAAAAGGGGAGGGAAAGGATGAGAGAGGAGTGAAGGACATTCTGAGCACAGCTGGATTAGAGAGCTGTGGACACCAGGTGTGGATACCAGGTGTGGAAGGAAGGTTGAGCCTTCAGTCTTAGCCTAAGATGTCCCAGTCCTAGGTAGTGGCACTGGGGAACTAGTGACAGTTTTTGAGCAGAATCATGATAATAAGAGTTAATTTGATGGCACTGCATAGGACTAGAAAGAAGTTAAAAACAGGGAAATCTGCTTTAAAGTAGTTCAGTATGTTAGAGGGGAAAGTGTTAACGTGGTTCCTGCACTCTTCTCTTGATCAGCTTCCCCTAGCATAGAATCCTTCTGCAGTCTGAATCTCTCCAAAGGAAGCAAACCTCAGAGAACTCATCCTCCTCTCAGTTCTCTGATGCTTGGTGTCCATGGTTTCTACCTAGGCCTGCAAACTCCAAGACCACAAGGATTGTTTAGTTCATGCCCACCTTTCTCAGGGCTGACACAGAAAACCAATGAGTGAGTATTTCCAGTCAATTTTTCTGTTACAGGATCACCTCTGAAGGTTCTGGAATGGGAAAGAAGAGAAAGGTTCTGGGCTTTTCTAAATTTCATCAGTTTGTCTTGAGATTCCAACCAGAACTTGCCTTTCTCCTTAGCAGATGAACTCTTCATCTGCTATACAGGGAGGATGGTTTTAATTTCTACTCCGATTTTTTCCCCCTCTACCTAGAAATGTATCCTTGTTCCCTTCTGTTCTTTATTTTTCTCTTGGCTTTTGTCACCTTCCATGCCAAGGCTAATAGTATTTTTGTCACTCGAGGTCCTTACTTTTGAATTCTCAGTCTCCTTACCTTACTGCATTGTCCCTACAGATCACACTCCAGTTTCACCCAGCCAAGGGTGTACCCAAGAGCTACCAGTGCAGTGGACACATGGGTAAAAGGGGAACACATTGCTGGTGCTGGTCCTACTGTTTTTCTGTCTGTTTGCATTGGGTAAAACTTTGGAATGAATTACTTGGTAAGAAAGGGGTTTGCTAGAAACTTAACAGGGTAGGTGGCCCAGGACTTCAGCATTTATAGTCTACAAAGTTAGCCAAGTATCAAGCAGAATCTGGGCTAGCATGATCCTTTCCCAGAATCTACTTCTGAGATTCTATCCAGTCTACTCCCAAGGTCCATTTATGCTGCCATAACACTATGCCTCAGACTAGGATATTTATCAATAATAATTTATTTCTCATAGTACCAGAGAGTGGAAAGATCAAGCAGAAGGCACCTTTGGTGTCTTGTGAAAGCTCTCTGTATGTTTCCAAGTGGCACTCTGTTATTTTGTCCTCGCATGGCAGGAGGTGGAAGGCTAGAAAGGGACAAGTGCTATGCCTTCACATGGTGGGAGATCAAGAAGGGGCCAGTATATCCCCTCCCACCTCTTTTATAAGAATGTTAATTCCCTCCATGAGGGTAAAGCGCTCCTGACTTAACTGGTCTGCCACACACCCTGCCCCTTGACACCATCACATGAAGTATTAGGTTCCAACACATGACTTGTGGAGGGACGGGGACATTCAGACCAGAGCAGATCCCAGAGCGAGTGCTGCACATCAGTCTACCACGTGCGGGTGACCATCTTTAAGCTGGCTTGGTGAATGGTTCTCCCACAAGGGGTATAATAGATAGGAACAAATGGGCCCAAGTAAAAGGTCTCCGTCAACCAGCAGTCACTCTGGCGCTTGCACAAAGGATGGCTTCCTGGATTGCAAGTTGTGCCCAGAAGGAAGCCAGGCCAGAGTACCAGGTCTCTCTGTGCAGCCTGCCCACCCATATGGCTGCTGAGGTTTCCAAGACCAGATTACTGGTGCTTGCTACATGTCGTAGTTATTTGCTTTCTTAATTTGGTTCTTACTGGCAAATGGGAAACATAATGAATATAATGAATGCTCTTTTGAAGTTGTTCCTGATGTCTGAAGTGGACAAGATAATAACAAGGATGTTCTTTCACAAACATACTTTTTTTTTTAGAGTCAACAGTTATGAAAAACAAATTTAAATTAGTCCAAACTTTTCTCAGTACATCACAGGAGTTTGCATTTTATTTTAATAACTATCCAGTGAACATTTATTGGTAGGTAATTTTCCCAGCTGTCAACTCAAGAACATTTATTCTACAAGCAGTTAATGGCCTGTGGTGTTCCATACCTTGTGGGTACCGGGAATGCATGACTCTGAGGAAGAAAGAATAAAGATGCATTCGGCCCTCTATATCCATAGTTTCTACATCCAGGATTCAACCAACCATAGACCTAAAATATTCATGGGAAAGCCATGCCTTTAGTGAATAGGTGCAGACCTTTTTCTCATTATTCCCTAAGCGACACTATGTAACAGCTACTTATAGGGCATTTACAGTGTTTTAGGTATTACAAGGAATTGAAAGATGATTTAAAGTATAAAGGAGAAGAATCTGCATAGGTAACATGCAAATACTATAGAAGATTTGAAAACTCTAAGGTTTGGTATCCATGAGGTCCTAGACCCAGTGTCCCCTGGTAACAAGGGATGGTGGTCATCAGTAAAGCTTGCCAGGCCTGTGCTACATGCCAGCCTCTGTTCTATGCATTTAAAATGAATTAACCCTCGTATTTATGAGTTGGTATCCACCATCCTTCATGTGTAAATGAGTAAGTAGGTACAGGGGTGGAGCTTTTATCTCAAACCACAGAACAATATTGATAGGGGGATTTGAACACAGGAGTCTGGCTTCAACTTGTGCTTTTGATGAGTACGTTTACTGAAAGGAAATAGGAATGAATAGAAAACTACCAGTTGATAATATGATGAATAACTGCTAGAAGATTAGATATCTGAGGAGTTAGATGAAGTTTGATGTTGATGTAATCAGCAAGAATGAACCTTAGAATAAAACTGAGCTTTCTCACTTCTTTTATTATATCTATGTCTATGTCTATATCTCTATCTATCTATCTATCTATCTAATCTTTTTTTGTGGTATGAGGAATTGAACTTGGGACTTTGTGCTTGCCAGGCAGGTGCTTATGCTGCTGAGTTATATCCCTGGCCCACTTCTTTTTATTTTAAAGAGAGTAAAAAACAACAAAAATGACACAGAATCTGAAAACAAGATCATAAGAAATTAATTATTGCATATTCTTGTCTTTAAAATAGTTGCTCAGAGACCCAGTCCTAGCCCAGGTCCGGTGAGTGTGTGGAGAGCTTCC